AAACGCAACCAATACGCTAATCATGTCTCTAGGTAAATGTCACAAAACACCTTCATTGATTTGAAATAATCCCACAGAACTTCTAAAATTACTCGATTTCACTTGATTTTACTCCTCAATTCCTTCATCTTTACAAAGGTAGCTGGTTATGTGTAAAACTCAAACAATTTTAGCGATCTAACGCTAAAGGTAGCAAGCTTGCTGGAACACTATTCTTTGCATCTCGAATTCGGTATAAGTTGAATAAGAAATCTCATCTCAATGCCGACTGTGTATTTTCATGCACGTCCACATAATTTCTGAACCCTTGTTCCAAGGATATCAACATTACTGAATTTTGAGAATGAGTGATAAATCTCCCCGAATGAAGTGAAAGCCAAATCAAACGTTCACCGTATAAGAACTTCTCCAAGGTTTCCGGTACTTGTACCATCGATATACTCTTCAGTGTTGGCCATTTGTAAATTCATATATCCATCTACTGATACCAAATAGCCTGAATNTCGATATACTCTTCAGTGTTGGCCATTTGTAAATTCATATATCCATCTACTGATACCAAATAGCCTGAATAACGGAAGGGAAATTAACGGCTAGAAATGAATGAAAAACTTTCCCGCTGCATTTCCCCAATATATTGTCAAACAAAGAAACGTCATTTCCAACTATAAAACCTTTTTGCAGGATATTCCTTACCTCTATATTCTATTCCCCACTTCAGTTTGCATATAATTGGTTTACCGGTCAATCCGTTAAGGAAAGGTTTTGGGTTAACTGGCTGTAAAGTCGACATATTTTTCTTGTATAACCTGAAAATACAGTAAAATCACATCAAGAACAACCTTCAGAGCGTACTCGACACTCAACGGATCACCAAATGCCACTTATTTTGATAAAAGCATAAACAGATAATTAGATAATATGGATCATAGCCTGGCTCAGTCTCACAACATTAAATGAAGGTAAACTTTCGCTGAGAACTCAAAACTGAGTGATTTACCAATATCATTACACACATCAACTTTCATGCTGACTACGACAACATAAATTACATGGCACATGAACGAATGGAAAACAGATAAAACATATGCATCAATATGAGAAAAAAAACATAGGAATACAAGCTCAAAACAAAATCTACGAAAGCATTTCCAAATTCAATTAAAAAAGAAAGAGGGAGTGGTTAAAAGATGTGTACCGAATTAGATAATGGGCGTGTACCAAAGCAGTATGAAGATAGAGAGAGCGCGCGAAGCGCATCAGCCGTTTCCATAGCTGTAGAAACACAGGAGAGCACGTAACAGAATATAACCACAGATGGACAATTGGTGCGACTGAAGCACCGTCGAAGGATTCAACCAAATGGAAGCACTATCATGAGCAGTGCACACTGAAACT